ACCGGGTAAGGATACGGTTTGGCTACTTCCACGGGGTAAGGTTGTGGCACATTTTTGGTAATAGTCTTGACGGGTACGTGGTGTTGGTAAGACGATTGTTGTGACCCATCGTATGCGTAGTCTTCACCGATGTTTGCGTGCCCAGCATTGAAATATTCATGTCCATAGCTACTACTTACGATTTTAGAACTTCCGTATCCATAGTCGAATTCGGACACGCTCCTCTTGGACTGGGAGTCTTCTGTTTTTGCGATATTATTTACCGGTTGTTCGGCGGTTAAGATGTTGATGCATAGTGCGAATGCACACACTGAAAACAATGTTATTTTCATCGTGTATATGAGTTGATCACAAACCGAACTAAATGTGAATGTTAGTCGATTGTGAGCATCCAGCGCTTTTGTAGTGGACCACCGTTACCTCCCAGTATAGTACACTAATCTGGTCGTCACTCCCACCAGTTGAATGTCCGAACGATGTATTTGATTTAATACATATCATCTTTATTATGTACTCCCATCTTTAAGAATCAGTTTCAAAAATCTTTGATTTCTCTTAAGAAATCACATTCACTTTTTTAAACTAATTTTAACTGTTTTTTTTTTTTTATCAAAAAAATTCGTTTTTATTTTTTTATTTTCTACTGTCAATAGCTGATTAATAGAACAAGAGCTTTAGTCCATTATTTACTTAGGAGACTTATTTAACTAAAACAATTGGCAAAAGCTAAAAGTAAAAATAAATATATGAGATATCTGGCTATACTCAATATAAATATAACCTTTCAATCATAACGATATTTTAATATCAGTTTATTATAAATTACAATCCACATTTTATTTGTTTTATTTTATAAATTCAACAATAGTGTTTTCAAACGTTAATTATTTTGTAACATCATGATTAATAATTGCCGTCTATCATACAGAGTTTAGTTTTTCTTGTGTTGAGAAATAATGTATGTGAATTTTTTTTTTTTTGAGTATATTGACATATATTTAATTTTTTTTTTTTTTTATATAATTTACTATATATTGTTAAATATAAGTTACTCTCTGCTCATTCAATGACATGTATCACATGCAAATGGATAAATCAAGGCATGGGTACGATACAAACTTTCAAATTCTGCATTTATCAATTATATTTTATACATTTATAGCAGAACCATTGCGAAAATTATACCAATTATAAATAATTTCTTCTCACAGATACTTTCATTAATATTTTCAATTTTATCGCTTTTATTTATTCATAATCGAGTATTTTATACAAAGAAATGTTTTTAACAATCGATTTGGATTTATTTTATTTAAAACGATTTTTATGTACGGTCTCAAAAATTTTTAAATACAAAATATTGTTGAGTATCAATAAATTAATTTTATCTGTGCATAAAATATTTAATTCACTTCGAGTATTACAAATTATTTAGGTGCCAGACGTTAAATTTCCACGCTTATAATTTAACAGTTGTGTAGATTCTACGCGTTGTGTAAAAACGTGAACGGAAAATTCGATACTATTGAAGGTTAAAATAATCATTTTGAGTATATTATTATTTTATGTTACAAAATGAGTTGCGATTGTTTAATTAGTCTCAACTATTGAACGTGTAAGGTGGTATTCATATTTAGGTCAAACGACGTAACTATTAAACAATGTACAGTAGTAGAAGTATAGTATAATATAATAGCTGTACCGCTGTGGATTTGTGTGAAAGTATTATAGATGGGTTAATTATTTAATAGTGTGGAATTTATTATTAGCTATTAGCTGCACACGTGCATATGGATATTCATATGCACACGATAAATCATAGTGTAACAGTATTATACCTGGAACCCGATTAGGGGTAACTATATGGTTATTAGTTCAAGGGTGGTAGTCAGCGGCTGTCATTGGCCCCGGAAATTCTAAGGGATCCTTCATTCCTCGATACGATAAATCGTAGGTGGTAAAATTGTAATCGAGTCTGTTTACGTCACAAGTCGTTGTGTCCAATATACGTAATAATTGTAAATTTATGTCAATATTATTAATGTTATAATAATATAGTTTAATTCCGTATTACGTACGAGAAACGAAAACAAATATAGTCGGTTTCGGTAAACTCGTTCATAAAAATATGTAGTACAACGAGTTTTCAGCGAGTGATGATTTTTCGGAACATAAAATACACACCTTAGGCGTTTTAATAAATACTGAGAAAGTACTATAAGATTAACACGCTACTGTACTGCCTCAATTTTATTTATTTATATGTGATGCACCAATTTTTGTTGGAACATGTTAATTTTTTTTTTCCTAATTAGTTTTTCAAAAACTACACCAGAATTATTTACCTACAACCGACAAACTATATTTTGATACTTAATTATGCATAACATATCGTATAAAATCATTTACCGAGCCTTTTCATGCCGCATTTCATTATTAATTCTTAACAATGTATACGTCACGTATGCTAGCTGAAATATCTTGCCTACGATATTGTGTTATGATATTATTTAATCAAACTTCCATTAAGTTTTTTTTTTTTTTTTTTACTGTCCTCCGTCTATTTTGTCGTTTGTGTCAACTTCCTCGTATCGTTTCTAGACATATTCGCCCCCCAACTCGAATATTTTTTTAATCAATTATATTGCACAAAGTTATTAATGTTAATAATGATATCACAATATTTGAACGTAAAATATTCGTCAAAAGTAATATCATTATCAAACTCGGAAATGTTTTAAAATCCACTAAGACGTACACTCGAACACTAAGTCGGTTTGTCAACTCACGCATATGCACACGCCAGACGATTGTCCTCCACGACTCGTATAACATTATTATGTTATTGTGTTGTGAGGGAGGAGTAATAATATGACTATCATCGCGTCTTTATGCACAGCGATAGCATACGAGCAGACGACTTTATGTCATTAAAAACTTCTACGATATATATTTATGTATAATATAAATATGCATGGTATGTGTGGTGCGCACGAGGGGGATAAATCGTGTGACGGGATTTCGACTTAAAACATAATAATATTGTTACACAACTGTTTGGCTCGCAACGCAATTGAGAGCTGGCTGAAAATGAAATTAATACTCGGTCGATCGTCTTTACCGTCGTCCCCTAGCAAACTAAATAAATAATAATAATATATTATGCTGTAAGTCCGTACGCAAATGAATCCGTTTATAATGAGTAACGAAGTTGTGAGGGTTTGATAGTTTGGTACAGGTACTTACATTTCTGACGAAATTATTTCTTTATTAAGTACCTATTTAACCATTAGATATGAATATTATATTATTATTATTTTCGTCATCGTATATCTTTCATCGGAAGAGAAAATGCTTTTGAAAACTTCTTTTTTATTTTTTGATGCATTTATTTTAATGCGTGTATATTGTTATGCACGGTGAATTGTGATACCCTCAGAGTCGTACTACAAAGTTAGACCGAGATATTGATATCTGTGTATGATCATACAGACGTGTGTAATACGATACGAGTATGAACAATTTTCAAAACTAGTTCTGGCTACCGATGACGGTCTTACCACATAAGTATGTGTATAAAAATATGTGTAAAAATAAATGATATTTTACGATAATGTTATATTTTTGCAATTTGCAAATCATTAAATTTTATTTTAAAGACTAAAAATAGATTTACGTAGTAACGTAATTATTAGACGTTTCGAGCGATTGTTTTTTTTTTTATCATTATAAATTATAATATAGTGTAAATTACTGCGAACGAGAATCGTTATAAATTATAATTCATCGAGTCCGCGAACCCGATAGTCGCCTTTATGTTATTATATACAGTTTTACGTTCCATTTTGGAATTTAATAGACCAGTTTGTTTTGTAACCATATATTATTTATGATAATGACCCGTTCTTATAATATAATAATATTATTATTATATATCGTCGTCCGTCGACTGGATGATATCATAGGTTAAATTGAAGTGTGTTGTCCTCCGGCTAAATGCTCGTTATTCAACCGAAACGAACACAAAATATAGGTAGGACGAGTTTTTTTCACTTTTACGGAATCTGTCCCCATTTGATAGCCTGCCGTCGAACGACCGTCGTTGTGAAATAGAACACGTCACGTTCTCAGTTAAATACTCTTATTATTATTTTCGTTTTAAGCACAAACGAAAACACGTACAACGATTAAACCAAAAAATAAAATAAAAATTAAAAGCTTTTAAGACAAAATATTTTATTTATATACCACACGTGTATATTATCATATTATTGTTTATTAAATTCGTTACAATTTCTATCTGTATGATATGTATAATATTATAATATGTAAATTGTATTTTTACACATTTTGTAAACATAGAAAAATAACGTATAATAATAATAATAATAAAAAAAAAATGTAATTTAAAAAAAAAATAATAATAATAATGTATACATAATATTATCATATTGAGCTTATACATATCGAATAACACGCGCAGATATTACGTCGTCCATTCATAATATTATAATGTCATATTATAACATTCACGTCGCGTGCGAATTAAGCTATCATTGTATTAAAGTAATATTGCAACGGCCCAACAGAGTTGATACAACTGTGCGGTGAAAACTATCGAGATCTTTATTATTTTTCGTTTTTCTCCCTGAGAATTGTATTGGATATTGAACACGAACACTTTGATGATATAATAATATTATTGGCGGTACGATTCGCGACTTGGTTTTTATTTTTTTTTTTATTATCGCGTTAACTCGTTAAAGAGACATATTCTCTATCTGGCGAATTCGATTTGGCTCGAAGAAAAAAAAACAGAAGTATGATGACATTACCATATTGCGCGCGCGAGTTAATACCTGGTAACTTTGGGTAAAGGGCGATAGTGTGCGTGTTTTTTTTTTGGGGGGGGGCGGATAGTGGTGGTGACTAGCTGCTTACGACGGAAAGGGATTAGTATCCGGAGCTGCCGTGGTGGTAGTCGTGGTGTTCGTAGTGGTCGGGTTGGTACGCTTTGACTGGGTATGGAACGGCGACCGGCACTTTGTAAGGCACTTTGACGGGATACGGGATGTGCTTCTCAACCGGGTACGGCACGGCCCTCTCGACCGGGTACGGGATGTGTTTCTCGACGGGCACTGGGTACGGGCGGTCGACGGGCACCTTGACGGGCACTGGAACTTCCTTGACGACGGGGTACGGATGTGGCACCGGCACCTTGACGGGGTACGGTTTGGCGACGTGCACGGCGTACGGCTGTGGCACGTCTACGGCGTACGGGCGGTCGACGGGTACGGCCACCTTGACGGGGTACGGGTACGGCTTGGCCACCTCGACCGGGTACGGGAGGGCCACGCTCTTGGTGATGGTCTTGACGGGCACGTGGTGTTGGTACGAGGCGTGTGCGCCGTACGAGTCGTGGTCGCCGAAGTCGGCGTAACCCGCGCCGTAGCCGCCGGCCGACACGAGCCCGTGGCCGTAGCCCGCGGACAGGATGTCGGCGGACGCGCCGCCGAAACCGTAACCGGTGTCGAACAGGCTCCTCTTGCCCTGCGACTTGCCGTCCGCCGCGGCGTCCTTAGCGTCGCCGCCGGCCAGACAGTGTGCGCAAAGCGCCAGCGCGCACGCCGCGAACAACGTGAATCTCATGGCGGTGGTGGTGGTGGTGGTGGTGGTGATTGCGGCGATCGGGTTGTTATGTGACGACGACGAACGACGACAACAGCGTCTGAGAGAACAGGTAGGTGTCGGCTGATCGGACTGGACGTGAGTGTTGCCCGGTCGTCGGCGTCCGCCGGTTATGTAGCTTTCAGCCGCCGCCGCCACCTCCACCGCCGCCGCCGCCGACTCGTCGCGGAGGCCGGTTTTTCGCTCGCCCCACCCCGCCTCCGCCGACGGACAGACCTACTTTCTACGCGTTTGTACACACGCGGTTCAGTGTCACACATTATTATTATTATTATTATTATTATTATGATTACTGAATCGCTCGTCGGACACACACACACCTCCACACCACCAGCTACAGCGGAGAGGCGACGGTTCCCTCGCAAGACCACTTTTGGTTTTTCTCCGTTCTATCGGTTTCGTTTTCTTTTGCCGCCGCGAACGCTGCACGACGGGAAGAAATCGAGATTATCGCGTCAAGGTCGACGTCGGCCGGCGTACGCGCGCGCACGTCACGCGCGTTGTTTTCGTCGAAACACGGACGACCGTACCCTCTCGACCGTCCATCCGATGCGTTTTATCGTCGTCCACTCGTAATCGTGATGACCGATATCGACGTGACGGTCACGTCGTCGTGACGCTTTCCGTTCGTCGGACCGATTTGTCGGTCGTGAGTCGAAAGATATATTATATCGTTTTCGCCGACTCGGCGGACGGCGTCAGTCGCTCTCTAGTGCTGCGGGGTTATATTGTAATCGTGGTGTTGTCCGACTTTTTTTACGAGCAAAAAGCGTTCGGACGTTTCTTCTTTTGAAATTCGGCAAGCCGCGACCTTATAAATACGCGTAGTCCGCGTAATCGCCGTCGTGTCTTTGGCGTTTCGGCGGCTATCGCGACGACTCACTGCGATCCCACGTGGATCGGCGCAACACGAAAACAACCATCCGACGACACTGATAACAACGGTCATTAAATCGATTTTTTTTTTAAATATCCGATATTCTGATAAACGGTCCGCGAAGCTTCGGAAAAACACCTGTTGTACAGCACCGTAGTTATAATCGATATATCATAGGGGATTAGTTAACGAAATGTTGGTTACAATATGTGCGTACAACACGTATATACCGATTTCAGAAATAATAAATTAAAACGTCTAGACGATTGACCACCAGCGAGCAAATTTAATATTCGCGTATAGACTTTGTGTATCAAAAGTCAAAATACACACAAAAATAATAATAATAATCGAAAATATTTCTAAATGTCTGGGAATGTTCACGAGAGAGATGTGACTGCATTCAATTCGTAATACACTACGCTGTAGACGTCAAATACACGAAAAACAAAAACGAATATAAATTCCGGAGTTCGCCGTGCGTACCTCGATTAGTAATATATTCGGTGTATGATATAATATTATAATATTATATGTGTGTATGACGGGGTCCGTCGGACCCTTAAACCTCTTTCATAAGGGGTTGGCGCAGTCGTATATATAATTTGTGCGCTCCTTTATTAAAATAATTCGGCTGCTGATTGACAGACGGCGGGGGTCGCCGTCGCCCCGACACGGACTGTCCGCCGGTTTGGCTGCTGCAGTTATTCGATTTGGACCCGCTGTATATTATACACGTCACGTTACTCTCTGCGGGGTCAGAGGGCTTTTCTTTTTTCACTGACGCCTGCCGCCACCGCTTTTCACGCTTCCGCCTGGACTATCTGACCGCGCTCGTTAGATTCAGATCGGCCGACCCGTGACTAATACCTGCAGCAGCAGTTTGATGACATTACACATAGCTGTTTACACGATAGCCGGCTTTTCGACTTCGAACCGCGTCTGAGGCCTTTGGTCACCCCTCGGAGAGAAAATCATATTATATATCGAGTGTACGCACTCGAACCGCGGGACGGATGTCCAATTTTCGGAAAAATCTCTCGACTCGTGTCGTAGCATTGCGCACAGTAGGTGCGCGTATGAATAATTCACGAAAAATCCCCTCGTCAGACGCAAAAGGACTTGGTGATTAAATACTGCGCAGACGCACCGGCGATCGTTATTTGATGACGAATAATAGTATGTCGACGCGACAATATATAGACATATAGTATAATATAGGTGTATAATATTTTATTGTACAGGCAGTGTATTCCCTGTATGTTTTACGTCAAGAGAACGCATTGAGTTAGCCAACACATCGTACACGAACATGCATGTCGTTATATTTCGACCGTTGTTGTGTAAATTTTAAATATTATATTATTGCACGCGCAAATTCATTTTCTACGTGACAATTAAGCAATAATGTGTGAAAATTACTCACGACTCTTATTTTTAATGGTAGAATCACGGAATATCCAAATGATTTTTCTTTCGAACATGCATTATTTGTAACTATATTAAAGTTTCAAAAACTGAACAGTGAACAATTTTCTAGGTATTTGTTTTTTTTTTTACCATCAATATGCGAGTTTGGCTTTATTTTTATATATTTTAATTTAAAGCGATTTGAGTGACTATACTGATCTTTCCGATTTATCACTGCATTAAATAAATTTAAAATATGTAGGTATACTATATTGTTTCTGTGCTAACAATATTTTTAAGTGATTAAAAAAACATTTCGTTAGTAACACAAAATCAGATATTTTATTTTTATAAAATATATATTATAATAATTGCTTTACTGATTCTATTGATTATTCTTGTTCTATATTATATGAACGATAATTTGTTTCAGTTATTATAATGTTTAGTCCTGCAGCAGTAATTTAAATAGTTTGTTAATGTAATTTTTGTTTTTACGGTCATAAAAACACGCATAAATTGGTACATTTAATAGTATCTCAACTACGTCGAGGCCTAAGCATATATTACGTAGGTATAACACCTTAATAGTTTATGTTGTTGGCGAAAGCTGCAGCCTACCAATGATTATAATATTATACAGAGCGATTCTTTTATCTATTATTTTTTTTTTAAATTTACTAAGAAGTTTCGTGGTTTTTTTGTAGGACTTATATTATTATTATTGATATAATATGTAAATGTAACTCACTGCGTCGCATTGGTCGTTACGGTGGGAATCTTTAAACTGCACGTGTCTGTAGTAATATTTAATTTTATATAATATTTGATCAAGATTTTGTAATATAAAGTCTTTTGACATCCAATGCATCCTATAGCCGTTGCAACTACGTAAATCTAGGTAGATATTTATGTCACCTGTATTCGTGCTTAAGTCATGGTGGTTTCTATTCATATCGCCAGCTAAATTGTTATTGCAATTGTTTTATTTTTACGTAACTTTTTCAATAAGTCAGCAGAAGCTACTGAATAATAATATTATATCATGATATGATACTGATATTTTGCAGGATTGTATTACACATTTTGAAGTTGACCGTTTTATTTTTCTTCTCGATCTTTATCCTTATTTGGCGTTACAAAGTATCATAATATATTATATCATACGACTTAAGTTACACTTTTTATCCATATAGTTGGCCTAGAACTCAAGAAATAATGAGTTTATAGAACTTTTTCTACTTTATGTAATTATACATGTTATATATATATATATTATATTATTATTAAATATAGAATAATTCATGTCAACTTGTTTTTTATGGTGTTTCTCACTTACAATTTGTAGGTAAACGTATACGTTTTTTTATATTAAATCAATGCTTATACATGCGATATACGATTACATATTTTACTCAAAAATATAAGTCATATACTCGTAACTTGCAAATGTATCGAATTTACTATAGGTAATGAAAATAATATTTTATGTAACTTAAAATTTAAAATTTAAAAATTATAATTGCTAAATCGCTCACTAAGGATTAAATTCAGACAGTCCTATACATATTACTGATGATATACTGATGGGTATACCTATATAATGATATGCAATATGTAAAATATAGTTATTAGTTTATGTACTCCGCTCGAGAATAAATTCACAATAATGATTTATTATTGTTATTTAATCACAATAAACGATTTAAAATAAGTAAAAAATACGATAATCGGATTACGGAATAACTGACGACGACTGCGTGTTACATATGTTCCTGTAAAATTTGAATTAATACAACTCTCCCCCAGATTCCGGCATGGTTAAATTTGTAAGGACATAAATAAATATATGCTTACCTTGTCAGCTAGATACACATGCATTTCCTTGGTCATACTAGTAGCATAAACCGGAAAGAGCGGTAAACGATTGAAAAAATATTTAAGAAAAAAAATGATTTAGTGATGATCAAAAAAGAAATACGACAGTAGCTATAAGTATTACACACAGATGGATAATGTAAAAAGAAACCGACCCTGGTGAGTAGGCCCAACCTACATCGTATACATATATATATATATATAAATCGCTATATGTATAGACGGGGTGAAAATATTTCATCTTTTTTTTCAACAATCCCCTTTTCATCTATTAGGGGTATCCCGGTGAATGAGGGTTTCTTGCGTCGTCTCCCTTCTTTTGGATGGTTTTCTTTCAAACGATATCGCTAAAATGTAAATTTTAAATTTCCTTCACACAATAATAAATTGTAATTTCTGCGTGGTCGTCATGGACTTTGATAAACTAAGGTACCATATTATTATATACGTCATGTAAAATTATATAACATTTTTTATTGCACGTAGAGGTAATATCATATACCTATTTACAATATTATCTGTACTTAAGTGTCACAGATACACTGTTATTTTATTGTTATAAATTCAAAATGCGGTTAGTTATAGTGACCTATTATTTGTCGACTTTGATTAAAAAAATGAAAAACGTTTTTGTATCGCAATATCAATATAATTAATAATGATTAATTATTAAAGGTTACAAACGCAATCACATGATCGTGGATTTAAATAGAACGCATTAAATATTATATTTTTACTAAATCACATATTTGACAAAAATATGCATTATATTATTTCAGTTGCATGTAATCCTACTTCTAACATAATATTTAAGCAGTTATGTTTTGATAAATTACGAAAACTAAATGGAGAAACAGAATATGAAAAAAACAAGTTCTACAATGCATATATTATGATATCATCATAATTATATTATTTTCATCGTTAAACACAATTTCTTGTATTTAATTTAATAACCATAAACTTTTATGATTGCCATAAGAACAGACGCCGCGGGAAAAGTGAATTGTTTTGTTTTCATAATACGCAACAAAAATATCTTATATTTTATAAAACTTTTTTAGGTATAAATGATTCTTATGATATGTTCTAGTTATAGTATATAACTTAGTTTTTCAAATTTTTTATAATTGTCAAATAATAATATGACACAACTTTAAAATTAAACGAATATGACCAAGTGGTATACTATAATAATAATATCTAATTATTATACTATTACATTCTAATACGGTCAGACGTTACTATTGTCGTGTGTACAACATAGAATTAACGTATTTATATTATTTAAAAACACAGAAAAAGACAGTGTCGTTCAAATGTTTTATCATGTACGCGTGTTGCGATATCTTATCTTAAATTCAAAATATAGACATTTCGATTTCTATCGAAGATATAAGTGAATTATATTATTAAGAGGTACACGATATTGGCTGTCTCGAAGACCATCCATCCTACTTGTCGAACGTTTTCCGTATACGATCTCATTCACCTCACCATTCACTACCCACCGACTACGAAACCCGTAAATTACGACCGTGCCCATAAATTATAATGCCGTTTTTGTCGACCTATGTAAATTAATCAAGACCGTAGCTACAACGTGTATATTATATTATTATGGTTAATCGCTGTGTTGAAAAGGTACACATATATAATAATGTAAATATATCGCAATGCGTTTGAAAGCCGACGTCCTAGAGTAAATAAGTATAAATACACACACACGGGTACCTAACATGATTTATGTATGATTATATTTATAGTGTACTTATGAGTTAAATGGTGCCGGAAGTGTTTTAATTTTTAAAAGGTACTTATAATATAATGTATATACAAAACGATTGCATTTTGATCTATATCGGAAATCGAAACGGGAAACGACAACCAATGACGGTTACTTACAGTTTTCAAATTTCGGTTAAAAATGTCAAGTAGGTACTATATATTGTTATGTTATATGTTAACTATTATACTAATAAATTTTGAAATCGTTTTACTGTTGCTCACACAGCGTTATACAATACACCTTTTACGTCAGTTTGACGTCAAAATGACCCAGAAAATGTATACATTACAGTCTTGTGAATATAAAACTATTATAAGTAGACTATATTGTAGTGCTTGACTCGTCGATACTCTCTCCGAAACAAACGGTGCACATGGAGGATTTGATTTTTGTTCTCATCGCCACGCGCGTCCATTACAAATAACGAGACGAACGAACCGAAAAAATGTAATCGGCTTAACGACTTTGGTGATATACGGTCGAGTGCGAAAAATAAAATAATAGTAATAATAATAAAAAAGATGAATCAAGAAAGTGCAGTGAGAAGACACGAATATTAGGGCGATATTCTAGCAGCAGTATTGTATACTTGCGTATATATATTTGGGGTGAGACAACTTTTTGACGCGATGTCAACTTCCGCTGTGCCCCTTCGCTCGTTATATTAAAATTGTTTTGCCTTCAATTTCTCCAGTGGTGTATATTTTTTAGGGTGAGTAATTCAGCTATAAGGAGACATCGTACTTGTCTTTTTTTATTTCTTTGACATTTGCTGTATTGTATTTTCCCGAATCAATTATTAAACAATAAAATGTTTATTATTCTACTATCTTTAAAGTCTTAACTACTTTATACTTTCAGTACTCTAATTTCGTGAAATTTTTTTTTCCTATCGTAGGTAAACTTAACTCTCGTGTATATTTCACGTTTCAGGAAGTTAAGTCCAAACATAATTTAATTGTTAAAATCTCATAATTGGGTTCAATATATTTTGTTCGTTAATTTATGTCCTAGATGAAGCTATAAGTCCAAAATGTATTTTTAATTTGCTTTTTACTTTTAATATAAAAATATACATATTTTTAAAATTTTTTTTTATTTGAAATTAATTATTTAAGCATATTGCATAATATTACAATTTAAAAATAAAAAATACTAATAATTGATTAAGAGTTGAAACGTTGAGCAAATAGTAATAATTTGTAAGAAAAAATATTAATATTGAATTAATCAAAATTTTTCTGCAGAAAGTCTTGATATTCCATATAAATTTAAAGTGTATACAAATTTACATGAAGATCTAAACAATTAACAATATAAATTGTATTGCATGCATTTGTATTTAGAACAGTAAAATTAAATACTCCACGAAGAAATATATTGCCAAGTAATAAAAAAAATCAAACAATTCAATAAGTAAAAAAAATTGACTATCTAGAGTTAACTATTGCCTCACGCTGTACCAATACTTACGAGTCATAAAAGTTCAAACAATAGTCATTGATCATATTATGTAATAGATGGATTTAACATATTTTGACTATATTGATTGAAAAAAAAATCAATTATTGAGAGTTAAAAAAAAATATGTTGAACTAAATTAAAATTGGACGAAATTACTATTTTCAACAAAATCACGATTCGACCTTATTTATATTGAACCTAACGTCTGTCAATCGTCCATCGTGTTCCGTGTCCGTTGTACGAGGGTAAAACTTTATTGTTATTATGTTATACGTACAAAACTCGAAACGAATAATCTCACACGTATGTGATCCAATCCAATTAAACCGACAACAGTTCTGTATACATCAAACACCTATACACGCTCTTCTCTTTCGAGTTATTACGCCGATTGAACGAAAAATCGCGGTCAACCACAAACCCGGCTAGCTATCCAGGACAAGGTCGCACCGGTCAAATTACTCGAAAACGACCAAATCGTTCGGCGCGCATGTGATCTATGTGTTTTTTCTATTTTTATTTTTATTATTATCATTTTTTTTTTATCGACGAGCCGCATAACGACGTTCGAGATTAGAATCGCGTGTTTAGATTGTTCGCATTTTAAGAAGTCCGTTCGTTTTACGACAAGCGAATCAAATTTAAACGCAGTGCACTATATAATTATCTATATAGGTATACGTAATATTTATGCGTATTTTATTATTCTGTGTATGTACTATATACTTATGTATATAGATTTACGTGTACTACGTTATTGAAAGGAAAACCTTTGTATTTTAAAAGTAAATGATTCCCCGTCGTCGGACTAATTTGTTTATATTGCGAGTGAAAAAGAAATGGTGTTTGACACAAGAGACCTTCGGACGTTGGGCGTACTATTATTATTGTTATTATAATCATTATGTATTTACACGGGTATTTGGAATTATATCGCGGTAGGTGCCTGTGCTCGTTTAACCAACAAGATTTTACATTCTTTGCTCGAGTTTTCGTATTATCCGTTGATATTATAATGCAACATCGAATAGTCAGAAGGGATTAATCTACCGAAATTTAAGTAATTGTAGACGAAATTTTTTCCCTCCGTCATATTTTACTCTACATCGTCTCGACCGGGGCATGTGTTTGGATTTGAAAACGCCGTTTTCCTTCCGTAGCGCAGTAATAATAATATTACAACGATGAAACTCCTTAAGTGCAAAACACTTCACGAACAATACGCATATATTTTGAAATGATTTGATGTATTCAAAGTGCACTCGGTTTATTCGGTTCATTAGAAATTTATCGCGTACCTAACACTCTTGCAAAGTTTTCAAAAACGTTACTGTTGTATAATACAACAAAATTCGGTTTACGTAACGAAAGTTTTGCTTAAAGTTTGTGGTAGCATCCTGCGGTACACAAAGTATTTTATGGCGGATTTGGCTACTAATCCTTATGCAAATCTACCAATGATGATGTCTACTTGTGAAACTTTAATGGAAACCTTTGATATGATTTATAATTTTTAGAGTATGTTTTTAATACTGTACTATGTATATAATTTAATACCGTACGTCTGCAGTGAATTTCTATGGTTTACAATATAATTATCTCGGTGGTTGTTTTCGTGTTTTAAGCTATAATAATATTATGTTTTTAAATAATTAATAAATTATAATTTATCAACGCGAATATTAATTGCGCGTTTGATTTAACCGTCTACTATTTAACATGGTTTTAATTTTATGAGCAGAGCTTAGTCGCTTATTGTTGGCAGACTGTTGTTTTGTGAAATTACCATTTTTACATAGTTGATTGATTTTTAAGAGACAAAACTCGAAAAGAATCTTATTTTTTTTTATGAACAAAGTTGAGTTTTTTTGCTTTACGTATAATCACAGACAAAAATAGGAAAAAGTAAATAATAATCAAACAAATAATATACACGAAAACAAGTTTATTTCAAAGACTTCACAATAGAATATATAATATTCTACATAATATTGTGCTTTATGTTAAAATACATTTAAAAACTATTTATACAATGAAATTCGTAAAAAAAATACATATTAAAATTGAACTTTGCAGTCACAAAAAAAAAAAAAAATCATATATCATATTGCAACGACCCAAAAAGTTGTTACACAACTCTGTATTTTGAGATCTATTATGTTAACAGATAAATAATGACATATTGTATATATTTACTACTATGTTGATGGTAAAATATTGATTGATGTCACTTAATTAAAAAAGAATATATCTAGATTTTGATTGTTTCGTATGTGGTGTTGTCGCCAACGGTCGCAATAATGGCTTTGGTCGCGAGCGCGGCGAAACACGGTAACCTAACCTATGACTGGAGCTTTTGATCAGTACGAGCTGCCGTGAGACGATCCGTAAGACGTTGAGCCGTATGACGAGGCGCCGTGAGATGGTCCGTAAGAGTTGCTGTATGAAACGCTACCGTGGGACGGTCCGTATGAGTTACCGTACGACGATGAGCTTTCGTAAGAGCTGCTGCCGTGGTATTCATCGTGGCTGGGCACTTCGTAGGGTACTGGTACTGCGACCTTGACGGGCACCTTGACTGGGTATGGGACGTGCTTCTCGACTGGGTATGGGACGGGTCTGTCGACTGTGTATGGGACGTGCTTCTCGACTGTCACCGGGTACGGGCGGTCGACGGGTACGTGGACGGGATACGGGACGTGCTTCTCGACTGGGTACGGGACGTGCTTCTCAACTGGTACGTGTACGGGGTATGGACGGTCAACGGGTACCTTGACTGGGTATGGGACGTGCTTCTCGACTGGGTACGGGACGTGCTTCTCGACGACCACCTGGTAGGGCTTCGGTACGTGGACGGCATATGGTCTGTCGACGGGCACCTTCACTGGGTACGGTACTTCCTTGTAGACTGCGTACGGCTGTGGCACGGGCACTTTGACGGCGTAAGGCACAGGTTTCTCAACGTGCACTGGGTATGGGCGAGGTACGTGCACCGGGTACGGGCGGTCGACGGGCACGGCAACCTTTACGGGGTATGGCACGTGCTTCTCGACGGGCACGGGGTACGGGTGTCCGACTTCCTTGACGATGGTCTTGGATAACAATTGAGCGTGGCCGTGGTAGCCAATGTCATGCGCGACGTAACCGGATCCATAGCTGGCGCCGCCGATGCCGTACGACTCGTAACCGCCGTCAGATTCGTAACCACCGTAACCGAATGCCGAGAGATGCCTCTTGCCTTTGCTGGAGTCCGCGGCTGTGGCGGCCTTTGGTTCTACCTTAGCCGAGTCCTTCTTCGCTTCTTCGCTGGCAAAAGCGTGAGCGCACAGACCGATCGCGCACACCGCGTATAACAAACCCTTCATCGTGAATATCGTTCTCAGCCGTTTCGTTCGACTGTGTTCTGTTACTGTTAGTGCTCCGGTTGCAAGTGTGATCGTTTGCTGAACAGTGGTGACCGACGACTGACCATTGATCACCAGGACCCGCCGGTTTTGTAGTGTCCGTCGCCCGAAAAAGGAAGTGGTCCCAGTCGCCCCTACCCCCAGACAGTCCGCGACGTCGATCCGCCGATCGCAGGGGACGGCGGTGAAGAGGACACGAAGCCGCCGCCGCCGCGTCAGACCTACTTTCTATAGACCGCCGGCCGGTTTGTGTCGAGGTCCGTGCACGACATTACGCAATTATGCAATGACGACCGCCACTACCGCCGCCACCGTCGATGATGCATTACATATTTTGAATATCATAATATCATCATTACAATAATAATAAATTATCGTTGGGTATTCGAAATTTTTGTTCTTCACACATCCGCGACGTCCCGAGACCCGCTGCAGTCGTTTGGGCTCGCCCTACGGTTTGTATAGTTGATCACGACGATTATTAATGAGCTCTCCCTTAAATTTACTTATTATATTACGTTATTACGATTGATTGTTATTATTGATTAGTACTAAAGCTTGAAATTTATGACACTAAAAAGGTTTATTTCTAACGTTTTAATAAGCCCTAAATATCGGGAATGGGAAATATGCTGTATATAATATGTGTTTTTTATAATGGTCATCTGCAAACTAAGTTTCAGCTTTGAAAATTAGTCATGTATTTTATGCGTTTTAATAGGTAAGTGTAGCCGTATAGGTTAGAAGTTCAATACTCATTAACTAAGTATACCTACTTAACTAAAACTATTTTATAACTATACTATATTGATTTTTCAATAAATTTTCTATATTTTAAAATCTAATTTTTTACATATGTAATTTTGATCCCATTCTTAGATGAAAATTTATCTAAAAGTAGCTCTTAAAGTTCTAAACAGGCTATACAGTTCTAAAACTATAATACATAAAAAATTAACCAAATACATTTTTATGTTTATCACATCAGCAGTATGGAACAAATTGGTATCTTACTCTGGCTGTAAAAAATCTTAAAAAGACTTACTTATTGGAAAAAAAAATGTAATGTTAAAAATTCCTAGCCCTGGTTATAACTACCGTTGACACTCACTATTGAATAAATTTTCGATTATCATCTTTTGATTTTACCAACTTATGATTAACTGATGTTTGTTTTCAAATATTATTTATTTGAAGTATTTTTTCAAAAACTGAAATACGCTATATTACTCGTGCATTTAAAACATAGGTACTACTATCATTACGATTCATGTGATTTCGAAATGTCACCGTTCGTTTCATTACTATTTTTTACTTTTATATTCTTATTTGTTTGGAATAGTTGCAGTTGTACCAGAATCGTTTTAATGATCTAAACGAAACAAATAAATGGGTTTCCATATGAATTATACAAAATTCCGATTAAAATCGATTATATAACACCTATATTATATATTTTTAGGTTATATAGCTATTTATATGATAGTTTATTGTTCGTTGACTCGTAACTTATTAGTTATTAATAATGTTTGCCCGACATAATAATTATTATAAACTGTGCCGCTTGTATAAAACTCGAGCTTACAATTAATCACCTGCCTATAAAACAAATTATTTTTATACTGAATGTTATAATATAAATTATATGAACTATTTTTAAAAACTAATAGAAAAATAAAAATAAAAAAATTCGTTATGAATATTTCCCTGAATACTTATAAACGCGCTATATACTACTGCGGTTTTTTTATCATTTCACCTGTCCACCAAATATGTGGTCCACGCATTTTGTTCTGCATTCAGTCCAGGGATATTATGCAATAAAATATATTTGTAGAAATATAGAATATACCGGTATGCATGGCGTTTATTATTGTTGGAAGAGATGTACAACTAGACGTTATACAATGGTGTATTATAAACGAAACAAATAACACAATACATTCACAATGAAAAATTCTCAAAGCGAAGAAATAATCTAAACTATGCTACTACAGTTGTACAAAATGTAATACGAGTATCGTCTAGTATGGCTATGTAATAAGATGACGATTTGAATACCATTCAACAATGTAAAAATAATAAAAGTGTTATAAAACGAAATCTATATTTAACACGACTCCATTATAATAATGTCGATCTAAATTTAAATATTAACATGCGACTCCGTTTGAAATTATAAGTACAAGCCCGTTAAACCGTAAGCAATTAATTTATTGTCATGTCGTCGTGGTATTAATTGCTTGAACAGTAAATTGTAATGACTTTCTATATATTGTAAATTATCATAATGTTGCTGATTAGTAATTATATGTAAAAATAACGATAAACTCAGAATATTACACCATGACATAAGTAGTGATATTATGATGGGTACCAATTTGTAAATTAATTAGTCGAAATTACAGAAGAATCATTAATGTTTTCAAATATGGCACATTTTTTTTATACGGAAATTTGATCATTCTAGCATATAAATAACGTAAACTGGTAAACTGTATTTGCTAAATGCTTAGTAGTATCATACCGCGTATATGGAAGTATTTTACGTAAATACGAAATAAGTAGTTTGAACCTTATTTTATTATTTTTTTTTTAAAGCAACCGCTAATCAAAAATTTAACTGATGAAAATCTGATCATATCTCACATAGTCAACACAGAATGCATTACTAAAAAAAAAACTGTTGAACGCGCACGTGCTTGTGCATAGCATTAAACATTGAAAAAATATATTACGCTCTATTATAAAAAAAAAAAAAGAAAAACTACCAAAACATAGTGGAGCGTTCTGGTCTCGGGTGCTCGGGTCACGACTTCTACGATCATTGCGCGCGCCGTTGATACTTGGGATATTTCAAAATTTTCAAAAACGTGATCGACCGTATTCTTGTGCTGGTGTATTACGCGGGTAGTTACCACGCATTGCCATATAAAGGTACACGCCAAACGCAGTAAATGCACTGGCGGTTAGCTTGCGTGGGAGTTTCGCTCATAGGTCAGATCGTCTAAATAGGTACCTGCAATGTACCCACAATACCTGCCCATAATCAACTATGACCGCAAGTTCACCACGCAGTATGTATATATATATATATATGTGTATATTATATTGTGAACAGTGTATTATAGTGCAGTTGCTAGCAACGTTCTATTATTTTATTATTGTAGATAAATGGTCCACTATTGCGCTTACTAGTTTTATTTTTCACGAAAATATCCATAGAAACGTATTATTAAAATTATAATATTATTTATTCTTTCGAAATGTCTTGAAACGGAACTCTATGCTTTTTCACCACCGTTTCTCGAAACATAGACCACTAGTAGACCGCCTATTGTATATTATGTTATAATATATAGTATTTTACGCAGCTATATTATTACTCAAAAGCGATTTTGACGAAAGAAAGTCATTTTATATTCCGTCGAAATACGACTACTTTAATATTATGTGGTAACACGTACCTAAAAACAAAATAGAATAAAAACACGCTATGATGAAAATTGTATCGTTTTTATATACATAATAATGTAAGAAATTAGGCGTTTTCGTTATTTTTGACCTCCGCCTGAACATATATCTATATCTTTTCATAGATATCAACGTCACGGAACTGCGTTTGGTCCACGTCAAATAACCTCCAAATGCATATTATAATTTCGTACATATATCTTCATGTGTGATAATTCTTTTGAATAATATATCTTAGACATAAAATATCTCATTAAAATAACATCATATCGAGTCAAAAATGTTTCAATTTTAGGGGAAAAAAATTGTAAACGACTTAGGATTGAACGCGTTTAATGGTGCACTTGGGATTTTAACGGTGAAAGCGTTATTTGGAAATTTATAACACTTTTAAAGACATCGTGAGATGTGTTGTTACATGTTTAATATTTTAAATACTCAATTAACTTAAGTTTGATTTTATGGGTCAATTTAGAACAAGTTCCATAAAAAAAAAATAGTTCAACAACTACGATAATAAAATGGCCATGAAATATCATATAAAACCGAGATTTTTCAAACGAATATTAGGCACTGTATTTTTTTTCTTATTATTATTAATACTATTCACAGTAATTGAAATATTTTAATTTATGTTATTCTAATATTAACATTTTAACTATTGTATTTTTCATACTAGAAGAATATTGGAGAGTCCGTGTTTCGTAGATATTTTTTACAGCGCCGCTCCGTTCATTCTTCGATTGCAGTTATTTTAGTTAATAATATGCGCTGCTGGTGTAATATTTTAATATGAGTTTCGCAGAAATTTTAATATTATTATGTGCACGATCAACCAGAGGAAAATTTATTAATTTTGATTTATCCACTTCAAATTGAACAGTGCTCAGCACGTATATAGGATTACTAGCGATAAATCCGACACGTAATCTACCGGCATGCATTACACATTTATGCATGTTTGTGTAATGTATGTCTTTAAAAATGTATTTATTCAAAATAGAATATTGTGAGCCAATTGCATATTTTGAAATTGACAGGTTTCGTCTACAGAAATAGCACTCGTTAATATAATTGTACAGAGGACCATTCGAAGAAAGAGGAAAATCACTCTTGATTGCTACCTCAATCGCCACGTGGGTATATTATAAATTATAATAATATGGTTAATTCAGTCTCACAATATATTCCAGATTGCAGATGACTGACCAAACAATAAAATTATGTCTAAAAACTCTAAATATCAATCTGATGTTTAGGTTAAGTGTTAAATATATATTATATAATATAATGTACCAAGTCACAGAGATTACTGATAACTACGCACATTTATCTTGCGGTTAATAATAATTGTTAAACTATAGATATCCAAAACAATGTATCTGATCGATTAACGCATTTTTCATTTTTCGGGTTCAGAACGAACAATAATTTACATTAAATATACCTAGATATTATTATGCAGTAATACACTAGTACTATGAAATAGTTCTTATATATAAAACCTAATTTAAAATAAAAATATATTATCTACATATTAATCATATATCTAAGTAGATAGCAAAAGAAAAATTACTTAAAACACATTATACTGATATGC